GCAAGGCATCTCAAAATTTAGAGATTTAGAGGAAAACTTACTATCTTTCATCATTTTGGGGGTTGACAGACTCAGCTGGGTAGTTCAGTGATCTTCATGTGCAGCCAGATATTGAGACTGCAGTTGTTTGAACGTTTTTTTCACTCAAGTGCCTAGAGCCTGGGCTGGGAGGTTTAAAATAGCTGCTGAGTGGCCAGGTGCGGTGGCTCACACCTGTAATCCCAGCACTTTGGGCCAAGGCAGGCAGATCACGAGGTCAACAGATTGAGACCATCCTGGACAACATGGTAAAACCCTATCTCTACTAAATATAAAAATTAGCAGGGCATGGTGGTGGATACCTGCAATCCCAGCTACTCAGGAGGCTGAAGCAGGGGAATTGCTTGAACTTGGGTGGCAGAGGTTGCAGTCAGCTGAGATTGCAGCATTGTACTCCAGCCTGGGTGACAGAGTCAGAGTGAGACTAAAAAAAAAAAAAAAAAAAAAAAAAAAAAAAAAAAAAAAAAAAAAAATGCTGCTGAGTAGTCAAGCATTCGTCTCTATAGAAGTCTTTTCTACATGACTGGTTTGGCTTCCTCGTGGCGTGGAAGTCTGAGTGTAGCTGGACTTCTCATATAGTGACTGGCTTCCTCCAGAGTGGGCATTTCAAAAGACAAGGCCAGTCTCTTAAGACCTGGACCAAAAATTGGCACAGCATCACTTCTGAGACAGTATGGAGAAGAGACTATCCTGGCAGACAAGAAACTTGGTAACCAAGATCCCAATGGGTCTCACATGTCTTAGATATATTCCCTCCCCCAGCCTTCTGCTACCCAAATCACATAGTCTCTCATAACTTAGCTGATCAGGCTGAAATCCAAACCACAAAAGGAAGAACCTAACCATTTAACTGAGTAATATCTTCCAAAGTTGCTGAATCTGGACTCGCTTATTCCTTAGAGGAACTGGACCAGATCCAGCCTGCTGAAGACAAGATGAAATCCGGTACTGACCTTTCATGACCTTCTTCTCACTATAATCTCATTGTAATAAAATCTCTGCCCAAGGTGGGGCTATCCACCATTTTCTGTACATGGGCTTGTCAAGGCATGACGTCCCCCCACGCAGGCACAGGGAAAGCCCCACCTAATCAGGCCAGCTGGTGGCAACTTTTCCCATGTCAGCTTCCTTAAAATGAGAAGAGCCTGGCACCTGCAGGAGCTAGCACCAGGAGCCCTTTCTAGTATGCTGCTCCCTTGGGAAGCTCAAGCAGCAAACCTAGCCTGAGAAAATTTCTGCTTAGCAGAGAGCCAAAGAACTTGGAGTTCCAGGTGCAGTAACGCTTCTGCCATATTAGATTTATCAAAGCAGTCCCAGAGTCCAGTTAGAGGAGGAGCAATTCAACGAAACTAATGTCAAAGAATTTGAGGCTATCTTTAAGCCCCAAACTAGCTCTACAAAAGCTTTAAGTACAGCTGCAACTGGATGAAGCTGATCTTCACGTAGTCTATTTGCCTGTCGGGGGCGGGGGGGGGGGGGGGGGGGGGGGGCGGGAATTTAGTCTTCCCGGGAGAAATGTTACTTCATCCAGAAACCTCTTGGATCAGGTTCAACTCAGCTTTGCTGTGCTAACTCCAACTGTGGGCCACGAGGTTTCACAATGACTGACTGATTAAAAGCCTTCTAATACATGGCTTATTATGAGGCTTTCACCCAACCAACAGTCATACAAGTATATTCAATATCCACAGGCAGTACTGAAAGGGGGAAAACCACCACAGTGAGTAGCTCAGGACACCAGCACACTGATCAACTGAGTAGGTCGGGCTTTCCCAAGGTGGCAGAGAGTGTTGCCACTCTTTCCCAGCAGTGCTTACAGTGGCTGCTGCCTATGAAAAAGAGGTTATCAGAGTTGTCATGGGCAGAGATTCTGCAGGCATCTTCGCCATTGCCAGTTTCTTTGCAGTTTTTATGACCCTGTACGGGAGTATCCATGGCCATGATATCAGCTGACTTTTGGATTCACTTTGTCAGGTCTTAGGATACCACCTGCTGTGATCAGGCATCCCAATCATTTCAGTCCACCATGCCTGTTTATCACTTTGAGGGGTCAACAGTTTCACTTTAGGCTGAGTCACTTTGATAAGTGACTATTATGAGAAATTTACAATCACAAAACATTAAGACCCTACAAGTTGTTCATGTACAATGTTTTACATTCAATGAAAAATTAGAAATCCCTAAAAATAGAACCAAATGTCCAAAAGCCAAGAGAAAAGTAACCAATAAAAGCAGGACCAAATGGTGCAGAAATTCTACAACTTAAAAATACAACATCAGATATTAAGCAGATTAAACATGGAATAAAGATGGATCACTAAACTGAAATATAGGTTAGTAGAAAATAATCATTTCTAATTATACAGAGAACAAAATTGGAAATATAAAATGAGTGTAAATATGTAATAGGCGGTGAAAAGTATTAGTACATGTAACTGGAGTTTCAGGAAGAGAGAAGGAAACAAAACGCATCTAAAGGAATATTGGCCAGGATTTTTTCCAAAAGTTGGGAGATATCAAGCTTACAGAGGCAAGAAGTGCTATAAACCCCAAGCAGAATTACACAAAGAATTACATCTAAACAAAAGTATTTGAACTGACAAAAATCAAACTACAAAGAAAAATCTTTAAAATGGCCAGAAAAAAGACACCCTCCTTCAAAACAATGAGATTGACAGTTGACTTTTCAACAGAAATGCTGAATGCCAGAATTCAACAAGATGATTAGTATCTTTGAAGAGTTGGAAGGAGATAACTGCCAATTTAGAATTCTATATATAGTGACAATATCCTCATAAAAGAAAGCAACATAAAGACAGATTTAAACAAAAAATGAGAATTTGTTTCCAGGAGACTTGTGCTAAAAAAAAAATACTAAAGGAACACTTTATGCAGAAAAAGAGAAAATACCTTAAATGGAAACAAAACAGCGCAGGAAGGACTGAAGATCACTATGAGGGAGGAAGAGAAAATCTAAATAAACTGAGAAGAACAATTACAACATCGTTTGTGGTTTAAAAATAAAAGTTATAATACAACAGAAAAATATATAGAAGGCAACGAGGAAAGGCAAAAAAAAAGAGTTGTGCTGTCAGATTACATAGGAAGCAGTGAAAACTCATGTTAGGAAGACTCATACATTACGAATGCATCTTGAAATGTCTAAGATAACCACTAAAACCACCATTAAGGGAGAAAATAGAAAAATGATCTTTAAAATGCTTAATTCAAAAGGCAAGGAATAAAAATTGATAAACAAAATCAGACGATAGATTTAAGCCCAAATGTATCCGTAATTACATTAAATATAAAGGAACTAAAGACTCCAATTAAAAAGCAGAAATTATTAGAGTGTGTACCAAACAAAAAATCTAATTATATGCTCCTTACAAAGTTTAAAAGCTGTAAAATGTGAGGCACAGAGGGCTAGAGTAAAAATATAGAAAAGGCTGTATCCTGCAACACTAACCACAGGAGAGCCTATATAACTATTCTAATGTAAGACAAACTAAACCTGAAGCCAACAGCATTGCTAGAAATAGGTATTTTGTTAGAAGATGGAGAGGTTAAATTAAAAAATAAATGAAAAAAAACTTGACAAATTTAACATCACAGTTGGAGGCCAGGTGTGGAGACTTGGGCCTGTACTCACAGCACTTTGGGATGCTGAGGCTGGCAGATCACTTGAGGCCAGGAGTTTCAGACTAGCCTGGCCAACATAGCCATCTCTACTAAAAATAAAGAATTAGCTAGGCATGGTGGCATGTGCTTGTAGTGCCAGCTACTCAAAAAGGTGAAGGCACGAGAATTGCTTGTACCTGGGAAGCGGAGGTTGCAGTAACCCAAGATTACACCCTGCACTCCTGCCTGGGTAACAGTGTTACAGAAGACAGAGCAAGACTTAAAAATTACAGCTGGAGATTTTAACTCAGTCTCAGTAATAAGCAGATAAAGATGAATAAGGATAGAGACAATATGAACATGTTAATTACAAACTGATCTATATAGGATAGTCTACTACAAAACTAAAGAGAAAATTGTTTTCCAAGCACACGAGATTTGTCAAAATAGACATATGTTAAGTTTTAAAGAAAGTCTTAACAAATTTCAAAAAGGCAAATATTTGACACTATGTATTCAAACGGGAGTAAAATTGAGCTTGAAGCCAAAAAAGCAAAAATAACTAGCAAAAAAATGATTAGACTTAGGAAATTAGTTTCTAAAAACCTATGGGTCAAGGAAGTCACAGAAAATATTTTAACCAAACATGAAAATGATACATCAAGATATAGCCAAGTCAAAAAAAACGAAAGACAACCTTAAATGCCCATCTTAGAAAAGACAATGCTGAAAGTCATCTAAAGCAAGTATCTCAGGAAGAGACAGAACAAAAAAAAAACAACAAAAACCGTTAAGTTAAAAGGGCCAGGCACGGTGGCTAACACCTATAATTCCAACACTTTGGGAAGCCAAAGAGGGTGGATCTCTTGAGGTTAGGAGTTTGAGACTGGCATTGCCAATATAATGAAGTCCTGTCTCTACTAAAAATATTACAAAAAATAGCTGGATGTGATGATGCATGTCTGTAGTTCCAGCTACTCACGAGGCTGAGGTGGGACAATCACTTGAATATGGGAAGCAAGTTTCCCTTGAAGAATCACTTGAATTTGCAGTGAGCAGAGGCATGGGTGCAGGGAGCAACTGGGGAAAGAGTATGGGATGAGGGTGGAGAGATTCTAAGAAGTAGAAAGAGGAAAGACAGCTTTGCCACTTTCCCAAATATGTGACCCTGCTGTCCAGTGATGACAAATGTACTCATATCTAGAGTCCTAGCTATCCCAAATCCTGTGTGTCCCAGTTTCTGTAACCTAGCTTCTGGTCTTATTCTTTCTCCTGACTCTTTCAGGCTAAGTCTCTTGAATACTTGGGTACAGTATACAAGTGTCAGGGCTAAAACTGACCTGTTATCAGATGGAGTATTGAGATGACAACATCCAGGCCTCCACATTGGAACAAAGCCATCTGTACTTTATCCTGAAGGCACTGCAGGACAATCATCACTCTGGTCTCCCCAGCATGTCTGTTAGAATACAAAACAAGGTTGCGTATAACTGCTATTTTTGGTATAAACTTCCAAACATGTGAAACAAAATCACAGAGGAAAACAAAGTTTTCTGAAGTAGGGGAGCACCTTAAATGGGTATTGTTTTTCCATTGGAAAGAACAGACTAGAAACAATTTCAAACTATAAAGAAACAGTAACAGAAAAACCTGGGAAAAATAGTGACTGTTCATGTTACTCAAGCTGTATTGACAGGAAACCAAACCAACCAACCAATGTAGTTAGACAACCAGTTGATGCAGTTTTAGAAGAATGCATCAAGCTTGTTGCTTAATTGCAATTTTTTCAACAAAGCTCGACAAAGCACGAAAGAATTATCTTCAGAAAATTGGGTAAGGTTCGGTAGTTATTCAAAGGGATTCGTCTCAAACAAATAATTTGAAAGTCCCAAAAGTAAGACTTTTAGGGCCAAAGACCTTGAGTGTACTGTGGTTTTTCCCTTGATTAACTGGCCTCTTCCAGACTTGTGCTTTTGTCTATGGTTATTTTATATGACATTCGTCTTGTCAGGTTAAGATTTTCTAGGGGGGGTTTCTGCTGGGTTCTTACTAGTACATTCTCAAATGCCTTCTGTTTGACATTTTCTCCTCCCCGAGATGAAAACAACCCAACTGAAAATGTCAGGAGTGTTGGGTTGGGTATAATTGATATTAGAAAATGCCTGTCCTTTTTGACGAGTTGGCACGAGATTTTGGACCAAAGTAGTCTGTTTACTGCCTGTAAACATTTTGTTGACCTGAGAAAGTTTCATGAAGCCTATTTGTATATTCTGATAGAGAAACACTGTGGAAAGGATTTTGTTGGGTCATTTTGAAAACTTTGGCTCTCATTCACCAGATATTTATTGAAAGCCTCCATTTCAGATATGATACGCCTGGGGGAAATGTTTAGGGAAGTGTCTTTCAAACTGAACATCAAGATATTAGTAGATGTTCCTCTTACAAAATGGTTTCTGGTCACAGGAGCTTGCAACATAAACTTTCTTTGAATCTTAGCACATATTAGAATGATAAAGTTCCTAAGAGTCTTGCAGCAAAGAAACCTGATTAATTTTGCTTTGTTTAACCCAGTGTTTCCTTTTCTTACCTTAATTTTTTTTCTGACCATGGAACCCCTTATTCTAGAACATTCATTATATCTCATGAGATAGCAGGGAGTTCTAGGGAAAGGGAATGGAATCAGCTCTCTGCACTCCTGGTATCTGAAGGGTAGAAATTAAAAAACCTTCACAGCATATCATGTATTAGACAAGTGCTGAACAAAAAATGCATGTTGCAAGGAATCTGGTAATAAAACATGTTAGTGGCAGAAAAAAAAACCCATGTCAACATTTTGCCAAAGGATTTTTCTCTCCTTTTCTCCTTTGTCTCCTAGTCCTAATCCATTACCTTTCTTGAGCCTCAGGCACAGAGAAGCAATAGTTCCTTTTCCTTGAACTCTTCTTGTAAGCCATACTATGTCTTCGGTTTCTGCCAGTTTCCTTAATGACTTTGTTGTTGCCCATACAATCTGTGTCAAAAAGAGGTTTGGCTTAAACTCTCATTCAGTATGTATGAGCAAGCATCATTGAGTCAAATCTAACAAATATGAAGGGGATAAATCTGGAGATAGATTCTCAATGTGGTTGGTGGACGTACAGCCCGGAATCAGTCCTAAATCCTAAGAGTGTGGGCAGAAAGCCAGAGAATTTCCCCAAGTAGAGGGTCTAGTTAGTTGTTTCAAGAGTCAATGGGATCAGTAAATGCTAGGTGGTGAAGGTCGAATAGTCTGGTCAATATACCCTGGGAGTCAAATGTTGAATGAGAAGAGTCTCTACACTGAAAAGAGCATTCATAGCTCTCAGAATTGGGGGAGAGTGAAGAAGTTTCTCTGGGAAACAGTTTAGTTCAACTTTGGATTTCAAAACAAACTAAGAAAATATCCAGTCATGAAATGTTCTGCAAGTTTTCAGGTGCCTCCAGATATAGAGGGTGGTGGTATCTTGTCTCCTAATGCAGTTCAAAAGCCAAATACTGTCGTACCAGAGAGCACAGAAACTTAACACTAAGACAAAAGTGTGCCAAATTACAGGGTCTGTATTGCTGGCAGCCACAGAGGACTCACGCCTCTCCAACCGGTAGCCCCGAGCTTAGGGGGAGCAAGGTATTTAAGCTGCAAAATCGTATTTTTGTTCCGGGGGGCACAGGGGTGGGGGCAAGGCAAGCTGTCTGTATAGAAGCTAAAGTCAGCTGTTTGTTGCAAGGGGAGGGGATAGCAGTGGAAATTTACCCTTAGAGAATAACACTTTTGAGAATTGCAGTACAGTAACAGTTCTGAGAACTACACCTCTGCCCAGGGCCCAGGTGGCTTCTCTTTTAGCCCCTATCTTATTCCCCCGTTGTTTTGTACATGAATTACATTGATTCCCTGATTAAGACTGTTTGGTTAGTCTGGCTTAAGGGCCCATACTGGGATTTTAGGACCATTAACTTAACAAAATTGATTTTTGTCTGGATTATGTTGAATAGCCGATTTAAAAAGGCAAGGGCTAAACAGTTTTTAGTGTGTAGGGTTAGGGGTTCTGCCAATCCAATGAGTAGGGAGGTAAGCCAGGGGGACTAAGAACGTTTTTGATACCAACTTTTAGAAGTTTTTGGAGGTGTTTGATTTTTAGATTTGCCTAATTAGGATAAGGCTGTTTCAGATAAGTCCAGATTTATTAGTCTAAAAACAACATTGCTTATTGAGAGCTGCACGGAGCCCACTTTGTTTTAGGAACAGTAAGTTCAGCCCCTGTCTATTTTGGAGTACCATTTTGGCTAGGAGTTTACCCGACTCTTATATTTTACCCATCCATATATACCCTGAACCCCCAAGTTTGCCCTGTTGTCCATTTACTGTTTGGGGTAGTTATTTTGACTGGGTTACAGGACCTGGCAGAGCACTGGGATTTTGTTTTTGACGTATTTTGATATGGTAGAGAAGTTTTATAACCCCAGTGAGGGCAAAGGAACTTAAATTTTTAGTTTTACTTTTTGTGTGGGGTGGACCCCAGACACAGATATAATCTGTAAGTTTGAAGTTATTGCTCTGCCCTTGCACTGCCACACCCAGGCTATACTTTTTGTCCTAGGATTTATGTTTGGGGTCAGGAATGGGCCCAGGAGGGCACAGAGTTTTAAGGTGAAGACAACCGGGATTTTTGGGGGTGTACTTAAGGGTTATATTGACAAGAGTGGATTTCTGTTTTATTAGGGAACATACTCTCCTGTGGCGCCCACGGTAAGGATTAATTGATAGTAGGTGGGCTTTAAGGGCGGTTTGCCATGGGGGCTTACAGCCAGGGTTAGGGAGGTAAGGGAGGTGATTGCAAAGAGCCTAAGTTTTAGCTTTAGCTGATTTAGTGATCAGTGGTTGACACTTTCTGGTGGGGCAGTCTTGACGTGGGTGTGATGAATCTAGGCCGTCAGTCCATTTACCTTAAGCGCAGTGGGAGTGGTTAGGATAACCATGTAGGGTCCCTTTTAACGGGGAGTTAGACCCGAATTTAACAAAGACAGTTTTTAGGCTGGAAGGAATGTGCTGGCTGGTCTGCGAGGTTTACTGGTGTGGGTTGACTGTCTGATGAGCTGATGCACTTGGGATTGAACTGACTGGAATGCCTAAGGACTTAAGGAGTGCATGGTTATGGACTTTAGCCTGCACTGTGTCCGCGGGTTCGGGGAGTAAGGGAGGTGTTTTGCCAAACATGATTTTACAGGGGGAGAAACCTTTTTTGGGTAGGGGGTGCATTGGACATGGAAGAGGACAAAAGGAAGCAGGCTGACCCAGGTTTTTTTTTTTGTTTTGTGTTGTTTTTTTAAACCGGTTTCTAGGATGAACTTTAAAAAAAAATTTTTATGGTCCAGTTTATTTTTTTCAACCTGCCCTGAACTCTGGGCAATAGGCACAGTGTAGTTTTTAGGATGTGCCCAGGGCTTTGGCCAGGCCCTGAGAAACTTATGCTATAAATGCAGGGCTATTATTTGATTTTAGAGTTAGGGGCAAGCTGAACCAAGGGACCAGGTCCTGTAATAGTTTCTCGCAATCACCAAAGCAGTCTTAGATCTAGCAGGGAAGGCCTTGCCCCATTTGGAGGACATATTCATAAACATAAGGCGGCATTTGTAGCTGCTTACTGGGGGCTTTACTCCAGTGAAATTTATTTCCCAGCGCTCTCCAGGGCTAGTTCCCCTAAGTTTTATTCCTGCCTGATTAAACCTGTTGTCTCCTGGATTTACCCTGGCACATACATCACATTGAGTTTTCCTGACAAATTTGTGTAGATGTAGAATGTGGGATCTGGCCCTCAGCAGCTTAGTTTTGTTTGTCCTAAGTGTGTGTTTTGGTGTGTGTCCTTAACTAGGGCCCGTCCTCAAGTCTCAGGACCACAATCCTTGTCTGGCAGAATTTACCATTCTAGGGGGACAGAATTGGAGGGCACAGGGGTGTGCAAGGCAAGCTGTCTGTACAGAAGCTAAAGTCAGCGGTTTGTTGCAAGTGGAGGTGGGTAGCAGTGGAAATTTTTTACCCTTAGAAAATAACACTTGAGAATTGCAGTGCAGTAACAGTTCTGAGAACTAAGAAGAGGGGGACAGTCCATAGATACTTTCAATACAGTGCTGAAATGGGCACCTGCACACATGTAATGGGAGCATAGAGATAGGAGCAATGGAGTCTACCCTATGTTTGGGGAAAAGATTGTTTTGGGTATTTACAGAAGGCTCTCTAGAGGAAGGGATGCTTGAAATAAGTCTTTATAAAATAGTGGTTAGCTTCCAGTTGTATGAGGGATAAGATGGGGAAAAAGACTAGGAAAGACATTCTGTGTAGAGGAAGCAATGTGGACCAAGTCATAAAAGCAGGAAACCTCGCTGCTCTGTAAGATGTCTGCATAGAACATAAGTAGAACTAAGGGTAGACAGTGCATTTGCCTTCTA